GTGATGACATCATCGCCTGTAGCAGCAACACCAAGCTCGTCTGACATAAGTTCATCCACCGTGATGGCATCATCACCTGTATCAGCAACAGTAGGTTCGTCTGTAACTTCTACTGTGTCTGATAAGAGTACCTCCATGTCGATGTCAACATTATACCTGGAAGTAACGCGTACTGTTTCTGAAAGCAGTTTGTTATCTTTAGTGTCCATCACTACTTCAGTTTTTATTTTTCCTTCGGTTTCGACTAGTCTAACACTTGTGTCTTCAATTGGTAGTCATATATCGTCGGCTTTTACAGTTAGTCCATCATCGTCTTGGGTAATAACTCCGCTGTTGTCGTCTATTCCTTCTCGTTTAAGCTCTTTCTCGGTAACAACTGATATAATTAGGACATCAACGTTTATTGCGTCTTCTCAATCGTCCCAGGTATTATCATCTTCCGCTGTCAGCCCAACGACGTCTTCACCAACGAAACCCACAGACACCGGTCGTATGTTTGAAGGAGTTTTGACGTTTACTWATTTACGGTTTTCTTCGCAATTACTTGATAAGGAAAGCAAGGAGTACAAAGAACTTGAATCAGGAATAAGAGAGACATTCAGTAGCTTTTACACAGAGTTTTTTACTGATTTTAAAAGCTTCAAAATTAAGCGGTTCATTGAGGGTGAAACTTTAAGCTGTGAAGTTATAGTGACGTTTGGTTTCCAATCGCCGACTACTGCAGCAGACGTAGAAGATTTTACTAACAAGGGCAATAACCAAGTCAATTTTGGTGATTATATACTATCAAAGGTTAGCTATAAAGACATCACTGATGCAGTAGAGCCYGAGAGAAAAAAGTTTGACGCAGTCGTCGTAATAACAAGCGTCAGTTTTTCACCAGCATTAGAGGATAATAAAAGTCCCGAATTCAAAAACTTGTCAAAAAGTTTAGAGGCAGCTCTAAATGCGGTGTACCAAAATACCATCCCCGGATTTTTATATGTTAGGGTTTTGTCCTTTAAAAAAGGAAGTGTAGTTTGTAATTTTATAATTGTTACCTCACCGACGTCCAGTGCAACAGAGACTCAACTGAAGAACGTTTTACTAAAAGCTAACGACAAAGGTGAACTTGGCGAATTGAAGATAGCGAAAACTGTGGTTGTTCAAGAGATTAAGACATCAAAAGAGCCGAGAACTGATAAGATGGAGCTTTGGTTGGTGCTATTAATTTCTATCGGAAGTCCTCTCCTACTATTGCTTGTCATTGTTGCAATAATATATGTAAGTATTATTTGAGCGTGTAGCAGTTGTTTAAAGATTGGGTTGATGAGGGTATCAGTTGAGCAAAGCTAGACACTTCTACATTTTATATGGATTTTTAATTTCGGGAAGTCAAATTTATCAATGGTGTTATCCCTTCGCACAAATTTCTCTAGTTTTCCTAAGTACACTAACCATCAAAAGTCTTTGGCCAATTTTCTTTGTTTTAATATTTAATATCGTAGTTCAAGTGCTGCATTGTACAGTCCACTACGGACAAATGTGTAAGGCCTTTTATATTAAAGAAACTCAGGAGATGATGTTACAGAAATCAACACTTCCCGCAATTATTCATAGAAATCTATTTCCATTGCTCTCAACAATTGTCTCACTAGAAGAGATAGGCCCTTAGTTACCTTTCAATGCGGCTCTTGGAATAGTAAATATGCAGRGGTGGATCCGTATATTGTCAAAGAAGTTTTCGTRKKWAAAARKTTTTTTTTTCTTTTCACACCCATCCCGAAATAGTTTTGGGTGGGGTTTCTATTCTATACATATCACTCCCAATAGCCCTTCCCGTAGATAGACACATGATAAGATCATTGTCATTGGGACTTATTGAGACTGATATTAGTACATCCATGCGGTCATCCACAGAAGGGGTCGTAGTAAAAAGGTTTGCTTTTCACGCCCATACCGAAATACTTGGGGGTGGAGTTTATACATATCACTCCCAATAGCCCTCCCCGTCGATAGACACATGATAATATTATTGCGATTTGAACTTATAAGTTATAACTTAGAGCGGATTTCGTATGAGTGGGACACCGTTACAGCACGGTTATCGCACAGTTACCGAACCTGGCCTGCAGAATTTTGGTGAACCAATGGGACACTAGAATTTGGTTACAGTACGATTACAGTCACCGTACAGTACCGTCCGTTTCCCATTCACACGAAATCCGCTCTATAAGTTAATATATAGCGACTGTTCCTTAGTTAATTCCGTACAAATTCACAGATTCACCATCGCAGAAAGCATAAACGAAAACTGAAGTGTTACAAATCCAGCTATCCCAACTGGTTGGCAAACCTGGAAAAGATTGAGATGAAAGACTACAAGAGACGACGTGCCACTGAAATCAGACTACCACGTGACTTCGATGTRTATATGGGCGAAGAGAATGCTAATGAGGATGAAGATCTTCATCAGATACAGCCAACTCTGCATTATGAATAGAAAAAGTTATTCCTGTTGCCTATCATATGGAACAACGGAATGACATTCGTTGAATGTTTATTGACTGTATATTCTAAAATTACATTATTTCTAAAGGAAAGTCCGCCATTCGAGAAGAATTGAGGACAAAATATGGACTTTTCTATACTTATTAACCTACATATTAACCTTATATTAACCTACATAAAACGCGAGTACCAGATAGTCTACAACCGCTGTGCATGGGTTGAAATGCAGTACCCAACCGCCATTCAACACGGCCGTGGTTTAGATTTTAAATAAACCCATAAATTTGTAAATATGAATCAGTTTTTATTAATCAATGAACTCAAAACTGTACGCCATGTAAAT